ATTAACGCCATCTGAACCGCTTTAGAGACCTTCAAAACATATTTGTGAGGAATTACTTCAATCGTAAATTTTGTTTGAACGTTTGGTTTGCAGTCTCTATTGAGTATTTCTGTGAAATCCGAGGTATTTTTTATCTGTAGGCTTACACTATTTGCCATTGATGCCCTCCAGCATCTGGTTCGCCTAGTTTTTAACGCTGAAGTGAGAAATATTGTTCGTAGTTACTCCAAATTGACTTGAGATTGGGCTTTTGTGTGCGCAGTTGAAGGAATCAGAATGTGGTTGTTCCAATGTACATTCGTGATCGAGTTTTCATTAGTTTTTGTTGTGTTCTTTTCGATATTTGCGCGTATTTACTGTGATAGTGTCGAAATGTGTCATTTTGTGTGTTTCATTGAATGAAGTCGTAATTGTAATTATACAATTGAAAGAACTTTGTAACCGTTTACATGTTCATAAATATAATGTGATAGACTTTCTCTTATATGAAAAACATCAATCGGTTTCAGAAAATTAAAACTTGACTGATTTAATTTATATTCATAACGAAGTTGTTATTGTCTTTCATTGTTTTTTACTCTATTTGCAGTGAAATTTATTTACGTTTACAGGATTGTTTATAATGATATCAATATTATCATTTTATAATGCTATCAATATTCTCGTTTTATAATGCTGTCAATATTCTCACGCAATCTTCATTAGTTTTTAATTGTTGTTGATAAAAATTGTGAATCAACTTGTGATGGTTATTATGCGATTAAAAGTTTGTTGTGACTATATTATGGAAGTAATGTTGTAAATAGTAATTATGTAAATGTATATTGTGAAAGGTTTTCAGTAAATAAAGATGAAAGATGAAAACATGTGTTGTGTTACATGGAGACTTTCAACGATAAATCATCGAAAAAGGAGCAGAAAATTTTTCCACTAAAAATTTCACAAGAATCCCGACCTAACCCCTTACTATCTCAAAATCCGCATTTTCGACATATCATAGCTCAGCTTAGGATGAACATTTTTAGACGCTCCAAGCGGTTTTTAGATGGCTTTGGCCGTCTGAACAAGAATATCACAAGGTAATATTCATGACAGCAGTTATTGTAGTTTTTTGCCATTGAGTTTGAAGGAATTCAACTGCTGTATAGGTTGTGATTTTACCAAATATTTTTGTGATTTTTCTGAATCGTATTCAGGAAAGAAAAACTTGAAACTGGAAGGGTTTTCGGAATATCAATTTGAGAAGCAATTCTGAAAATGTGCTGATGCAACAAACTGCTAGAGTCATAGAAAAATATGACTGAAATGACTAATCTTAGACTGGGGAACATTTCAGAAGAAGATCGTCACACATATCTTAAAGCGTTGTAAAACAAATCTGGAGGAATGAATTAGATTGTTTCAAAAAACATGATAATATGACAAAGAGAAACAAATAAGAAGTCTCGAGTAGGATGATAGATTCTCTTAAAAGGAAACAGAGTTTATGAAAAACAATTCTTCAGATATCGTATAGCACAGAATAGGAATAAAGAGGCAATAAAACGAATGGAGCATTTATAGTATGACGTTTAATGCATGCGAAGGCAAATGCTATGATGAGATCAAATGGCTTGGATGACCATCAGTGTTTGATAGTTAGAGATATGCACAGGAAAAGCTGCCGTCTATGACTTCTGCTCAATTTTTCCTTTTGTGTAGAGTGTGTCATCGAAAAAAACGTTCTGCAATTCTACTCGGACGCAGTGGGCGAGGTTTGGTATCAAAATCTTGCACAGCGCTTCTGAATTTACATGTCCATCTTTCTTTCTATGAAACAAAAAGTGAGTGAGGTAATTCGTGAACGTAACCACACGGCAACTTTGGAAACTGAAATGGTGAATTGCTGACTTGAAAATTGCGAGGAAATGAGAGATTACTCGTACAAATACTTTAATCAATCGTTTAGTTTCAGTCGTATTTAGAAGGAGGTCGTTTCCATGGTTATGAATTGATTAGATTTGAGACTGATGAGAATTACGGTGATTATTTATTATTATAAGGTGATACTAGTAGTGGACAGTTTGATGCAGTCATTTAACCCGGCAGCTACTGCTCCCATTGGTTGCCTTAACTGTGGGCGTGACTAGTTACCGTAGTCAGTTAACTTCGGAGATGCTAATCCTGTTAAATGTGGGCGTGGCTAGTTACCGTAGCCAATTAAACCGGAACATACTACTCCCGTTGCTTGCCTTAACTGCGGGCGTGGCTAAACAGTCCTAGAACGTTTCGTGAACGCTGGTTCTTCGCATTTTGACGCTCTCAGTTCGGCAAAGGTTCTAAAACAAGTCCTTTCAATTATCAGTAAGACGTATCCTCTAACTCGAACCTCCATGAAATCTCAAGGATCGAAATTGCCTTTGCTTTCAACTTTCAATCGAATATTTCGTGCTGTTTCACCACAATCAACGGGAACACAAACGAGGCTTCACAAGCGGGAACAAGGCTTCAGTGAGTGCACCTGTCCAGTACTAATATGAACGGTAAAATCCGAGACATTTCGCATCAGATTCGCATTCATAATGTGACGCTTCATAACGCTACTACCCAGAATGATCAAGCCTAAACGATGTGATTTCACTATATGATTACTCCAAAATAACTTTGTAGAGCATCGAAAATCACCATCGGAGTTTTGATTTACGTACCCAAGACTTAAGAAATAGTTTTTTTTTAAAGCAAAGAGGTATCAGACCTCAACAATATCCACTTTAAGTCCACCTTTTCGTAGCGAATCAAAATCTAACAAATCATCCAGAGAGCCATCTGTCAGTGAAGGACAAACTATCTGAATCTTATTACGCCCAATAACTCGTCCAATAGCAGATCGACAATGGATCGTTGATTTGTGCATCTAATTCAGCGATTAACGTCGGGGGTGCCCTACAAAAGAATTGGCATCAGCCAATCCTCGAACAAGCAGTAATTATTAGTCGGTATCAAAATATTACCAACCCTGCAATCGTGAATATGACGAATCACAGTGCTGAGGCAACAGACTTGATTCAATTTCAGAAAAGAGAATTTTCTACACAGAATAAGTACCTATTAAGACCGTCATGACGTAGTTGAGACCATCCGGTTCAAATGCACCACTATAGGAAGGTGCAAGACACTTGATCAATTCCTCCTCTCCACCACCCGCAACGGTTACTAAACAATCAACCATTTCACGCTCTACTAGACACCAAATTGTCTGCGGTAAACATTATGATGAACTTAAATACGGTATTAAATGTTAGTGTGAAAAATTCGGAGTAATAATGACAATAATGGTTTAAAAAATATTTTCATATTCAGATTTTAAGATTTTATTAGGGAGATTTTAAAATTTACGACATTCTAAGAGCACGACAGATTTCAAGAGATTTTACCAACAACCTCCGATAAAACGTTTCATTTAATCTAAAGTCTTCGACATCACTCCTTTCCGCGACTCCCATCCATTGCTCATTTGGGGGAAAACTTTTTGAATTTGTAACTGATCAAATATCAGAACTCACTTCATCTAAGGAAACTCAGTGTCACCATATTGCATAGGCGATAAATGGGATAATCTCAGAGAAGAACCGAGTTCAAAAGAAAATTCAAATGGATTATCAATTCATCCAGAAAATATCACTCTACGTCGCCAGCAAAAATATGACAACTGATTATGAAGCAACCAAAACTAAAAAACAAATATACGTAATATGCGCATGCAAATGCACAATACATTAACATAATGTGAACCAGAATTTCTCTACAACATTCGATCCAACGAAACTCGTAGATTCAGAAAAACATAATTTTGTTGAGTAATTCCTCTTCATTGAGGAGATATAGTAAT